CCTTTTTGTACTCATGTTTCCATTGCCTTTTTTTTTCTGTTAGATTTTTTATTTGGATCATCAATATTTGGTTCTCTTCATTTATGAAATTTTTATCTTTGGTTGATTTTTGTATGATTTGGGCAACTTTTATGCCGTGTTTTACTGAATATCTTTTGGTAACACTGGTCTGTCATGGGTAGACTTGTATATTCATAAGTACAAAGTTCTTTTTGCAACAACAATCATTTTGATTAGGAAAGGACACGACTATAAAGGGTAACAAAAGAATAAATTACACTGGCAATGATGCATAGATATTCTTTGATTATCAAACTACTTTAAGAGGGAACAAAAAATTAGTTATACCATACTTTAGAGAGAAATTAAAGATCATGTATGTAATAAAATTCATTTAACTGATCTGAAAACAATGAAATACTTTGACTTATGTTTTTTTCATGAAATACGAGTTCACAACAGAATAAATTGAGATATGTTATCTCTAGTTTCCTTTCAATTTATGTAGCATCTGTTTAATTCAGTGATTTTTTTCTAATAACCTCTACTATAAAGTCCATTTTACAATGAACTATATAGGATTGGTCCCTAAAACTGTTTGCAGGCCCTTAAAAATGCCTCTCTTCTTTGCTTACAAGCTATTGAGTATCTGGTCATTAGGAATTGTGCTTCTCATTCTCATACTGTATGAGGGGTTCTTTTTGTTTAGGGGACTCTGACTTTCCTGAAACTCATCATTCTTTTGGGACATGCACCTTCTCTAGTGGTCCTTGTGGATTCAAGGGATTCTTTCTCCTTTCTTGAGGTTCCATATTCCTCATTTGTGAACCTCCCCTTTTTTGAGAAGTTGTCATGGTGACTGGACCATGTCCATACTACTTCCACCTAGATTTTTCTATTCCCTCTTGGATTGAGATGCATCCCTGGACAATGACATGACTTCTAACTTTTGGATGCAGGATGGGCATTCATTCCATGCCACAACCTTTGAAATGGATTGGTATGTTTCCCTTTCTATTGAAAAGGATCCTGTCAGATGGCTGGTATTGCCTCCCAGGGTATGTTTTTTCTGAAAAGCTGCATTAAGCTAAGATAAAGGAAAGTTTTCAAACCATCTCCACTGACTCTACCAGTACTCACTGTAAGATGGGATATTCCACAAGACTACTCGAGGTATCCTCATGTTATAAAAAATTTACCCAAGTGTTCAATCCAGTCTCTACTAATTTCATTGACTATTATGGAAAAAGCCAGCACCAGAGAAGTGACTGCCCACTTTTTTGAATTGTGTTTGCCGGCTTTTAGAGGTAGACATATGTGGTCATTCATTGAATTGTCTGATTAAAGACCTTTTTGGTTGGTAGTCCAATGGAGATTGCAGCACTTCTCCAGGTCTCTGCAATGCAAATTCTCCTCCTCCTCCTTGAAGTGGAGCACAGGAAACTCTTGCCACTTACCAGTTCCTGTATGCTGAGGTGATGGATAATCTTCACTGGTTGGACTTAGCATATTACAGTGAGAAGTGAACAAATGGTGACACTGTCAGTATAGTACAGGTCACCCCTTACAAATATAACACATAACTAATGTGTCTTCCTCCTGCGGCCAAAATATGTTTAGTAGAGTTGAGGTTAGCACAGACTGCTTGTATGCAATTGCTTGGATGGTCATGTTGTCATTCTGCCCATTCCTGCAACACTAGGGGCTTATTTGCATCTCCACCCCTTACATTCTGGATAAAGAGTAAACCCTGTTTGAGACCAGATGCAGTTCCCTACATGCATGCCCCTATGAAGTCCCTGCCAATGGGTGTCACACTCCATGGGCTTTTTTTTGGGTGTTTTCTGAAGAGCTCATCTAGGTGAAATTTAGCACCAGACCCTCCACCACTTCAGTGTGGAATTGTAGCATTTCTTTGTGTGTAGGTGAGTTGTTATCTTGGAAGTTAACATTTTCCTAATCCAAAAATTTATTTCTGATAGAGACCTCCACACATGTTCCCACTCAACTCCCCCCCCCCATACTTTTGGTGCAAATCTTTTTTGTCTTACCTCATCAGTGAATGACTTTTTTATGGGTGCAAGTACATAGGAGGAGTTACTGCACATGGAGGTTATGTCATCCTGCTATTGCTGGTGGTCTTTTGTTACATGTGAATTTAGGTGGGAGTTACCTCAAGGGTATTGCTTGCAAATCTCATAGGCAGACATGCAAGGAAGATAACATTTCTGTGTATGTAGGTGAGTATCTATTGGAAATACATTTTCAGATTAGTAAAATGTTAATGTTACATCCTCCCCAATGTGGAATGATAATGATCAGTCCCCTGGGTAGTGCAAGTCACTATGGGTAAATCTCATTTTTCTCAAAAGTAATAAACTAGATTTAAAAACTACTACACAGGATTTCAAGGTTTACAGGAAAACATTTTGAGGGAAAAAGCTAGTTGTCTGGTTTTTTAATGCAAATACATACACTGTGTTTGTCCATTGATTTGAATAAAGATTGCTTTCATTTTGTATAACACATCATATCCATTCTGCTAATTTCTTTACTTAAACTTAGTCATTTTAGTTACATTCAGTATCACTTTGTAATTTGTACTAATTCTCCCATTATAAAGTGGACCTACGTAATACGTTTAATCTGAGTATACCATAGGGGACGCAAGTATAAAACTTGGCAGGGAAGAAGTCATATTCAGCTAAGACAGTTTTATTTTTGACACAGAGTGGTTGACCTTAAATGTTATGTTATTCAAGTAGAAACCTTGTTCTTGAGGGAAGAATGTATGTTACAGAATTAAAAACATTATTGTTTGTGGTTTTACTAAAGGTGATCATTTTTTTTATCTAAGTTATTTAATGTGTTTAAAGGTGGAGAGGGGAGCTCTTCTTAGATAGTTTTATTATTGAAAAAAAGAAATGTTTTGAAAAAGCATAGATTCAGTATAAATCTTACTGAATCTGCTGGCTCTGATGATATTTATCCTAAGACTCCTAAAGGCTAAATGTATGTATGCATGTGTGTGCATGAAGACAAAGGGGTATTACAAACCAATTAGTCTGACTGCTGTTCTTTGTAAGCTATTGACATTCATTGCCAAAACTTACTTGGCAAAGCACCTTGTAGGTTAAAATTATATTAACAAATTCACAGAATGGTTTTAGAAAGGGGGATGTCTTACACATTTGTTAGAATTTAATGATAGGGCTTCTACTTGTCTGAATGAGAGTAACTGTTCATACTGTTTGTTTTGATTTTGACAAAGCTTTCAAAAGGATCCATACATTGAGCTAATTTGTATGATAGATGCATACAGAACTGAGAAAAACTTATGAATTGGAGTAAATATTTTGCTTGAAAATAGAAAATAAAGGTTTATGATAAATGGGCTATGCTATCTGGGAAAATGTGACAAATGGGGGTCCCTCAAGCATGCCTTCTGGTGATATTTATTGGTTATTATCTATAGACGATAAGGTACTTATATGGACTATTGTATAAGCAGTACAATTTACTGATTTTACTAAACAGCTGGATAAGGCTGATTCATTTGGAAAGTGCTTTCTTAATGAAGAACTTCTTGGATACTTTTTCTTCACTTATTCAATGTTTAGATTTTAGTGACGAGAAAGCATATTCACACCAATAGTATGTTTGATACTTTTCACTACGATATAGAAGCTTATCTCTCTCTGGTTAACTTGTGTTCAGGGATACTGATGATGAATGTAATTCTCCTAAACTAGTATAACCCAATAACACACATTGATCAAAATGTAGATTGAACTAGACCTTCCTTGAACTTAGACTTCGAAATTAATCAAATGTTGGAATACTAAATTTATTTATTATATCTGCTGTTGTGTGGCTATATAATGTGAAGAACTGAATAGTGGCCATGACACTTTTTCTTTACTTCACTTATCCAGTATATATGTTTTTCTCATAGTGACTACGGAGCTGTTTACACCAACAGTATGTTTGATACTCCATTCATTCTCCTGTCAATCCAGTTCTGCAAATTATGTTCTGGTTCTCAATTTTAGTGTGGCTCTGCTTGGGTATGTGTATTCTACATTATCTTTCTTCCTGTAGATTAGCCTTATGTTTGGCCTCATGTTCATTGGTTCCTACTTCTTTTACAGTGTGGGTTCTCTGGTTTTCAATATTTCAGAGGTACAAAGCAACCTAATTTGAATTTTACATTTTTGAATTAAAGTAAATTTCAAACAAGTACTTAATTTGGAAGTACCTTCCCTCCCATCTCCCCACAACAGAATTTTCATAATGACTGCAACTTCTAGTAAATTATGGCAGGAAAGCAAAGCTTATGTAAGATTGCTTGATGCTTGCATAATAAGATGCATGGAAAGTGAGACAGTGGAAAATTATGGGAATTGACACATGCTTTGCAATACAAAAAGAATATCTGAAAGTTTTTAATGACATGTTCTGTTAACAGCATGAGTTCAAACTCAACAATTTTTCAGTACCTTTTTGAAATTGATTTTGATACCAAAAAATGTAAAATGTAGTGTAATTAAAAGCTCCATCCTTTAGATCTACACAGCAATACAGTTTGAAACTCTAACATCAATAGCTTTGAGCTTCACTCCAGGTTGACCTCACACTTGAATTTCTATAATTAGCATTTAGTCCAGGAATCACAAGTTCAACTTCCTTCTCCTGAACCACATTTAATATATAGAAAATCAAATAACTAAGCTGATGAGATAGGATATTTTTTGTCTTTATAAATTAACTGATATTGTTAGATTGTAATTTTATATACTGTTAAGAGTTAAAAGGATAATTCAGATATACTTCTACTGAAGATGCATCTACATGCATGTTAGTAGCACCTACAATAAAATAACCTTAGCTTTTTAATATTTATTTTTTACTTTTTAGTTGGAAATTATTGTGCACAAAATTAAACTGAAATTGGTTTCATATATTTTTTAATAACTGAAATATTAAAACATTTTCAATAGGGGCATGTTCAGCTAATCACATGAAATGGATGAAAAAGTAAGCCCTATCCAAAATGAAGAATCAAGCTTCATCTGTAAGTTCAGCCATAGATCTAAAAATCTGAAAATAATTCAAGGTATGGAGAAAAGTGTAAAGTCTAGTTTAAACAACAACACTATAGAGCTTCCAGAATATATTGTGGATCCAAGCACAAAAACTACATACTTGAAAGGAAAATTCCTTGGAAAGGTGAAATTGTCTTTAATCATCATTATTATTATTTATATGTAATATTAATTTATCCCAAGTGCCCTTTGATATTAAAAACTAGAAAGAGTCAAACTTTTAATAGGTTTACCATCTAAATAAATCAACAGCTAAAAATAGGCAATGGTTATTTTTAAATCTTGAAGCAACTTTTGCTGAATTTCTTCAATACATAGGTTATTGGCAAAAAAAAAAAGTTTTATCTTGTTAACTCATGCCCACTGTTTGTTTTACAATGGTTTCACAGTGCAATGTGTTTTCTTGCAAAAGTATTAATGATTTTGCTTATTTAATAGCAGCTGTATTCTGCAATTTGTATGGTTAAAATATAAAATCCTGAAGTTAAATCTTTTTTTTTAATATGTAAAAAAATAGAGTTTGGCATGGGTACTTGAAAACCTGGGTAACCATTTTAAATTGCCTAGTCTGGTCTGTTTTTACTATCCAGGTATCAATTATTAATTCCAGTATGATACCTTAACTCAAATCACATAATAATAGATCTTCTTCTTTAGTGCTGCTCTCTATGTGCACTAATTTTTCACTCTCTACTAACCTTGATACTTCCACCTATCCCAATTGTTTAACATGGTCCAGCTGTGTTGTAACATGGAAATAATCATGTGACAACCCTCCACCAATAGAAGTGCAATACACACACACACTCCTATTGCAGCTGGTTTCCTCTATACTGTAGAACCTAATCTTCACGTCTCGATTTGGCAATTAGAGTGCAGACATTTCAATATTTCACTCCTATTTGCTTGGGATTTTGTATTAACAGTTTAATTTGTGAAACAACTATCTTAGTTGTTTCTAGTTTTTCTTAACAGTTTTTATTTATTTCTATGGTAACACTCGACACTGTAGGTTGATATCTCATTATCCACTAAATTGAATTTTAATTTCTGAATTTCAATTCACAACCACTACTTCTGTTGTTAATACTGCCATTGCACTTCAATCTGCAGTTTCTTAAGCTTCATGCTTTCTGCTGAGGAGGTATTGGTTATTCTAATACCGTGAGTTGGAGTCAATTATGCAGCCTACTGTGTCTCCTGATCACAGACCAGATTTTTCTTTTTCTGGGGAACAGCTATAGGAAGCTGCCAATTTGGATAGCCTATTTCCTCCTCCTTCCTTTGCCATGCAGTCTCAAATTTCTACTGTGAAAGCTCTCAGACTGTTTTCAGCCTTCCTAGATATGGTGTCACATGTATGTTATCTATATCCCCTGTGTCTAATGATTCCTCTCCTTCCCTCCAGAATTCCCATTCTTCCTCAGACTAACTAGTTTTTTTTCCTTCTACAGTTAGGGTACATGCAGACCTGATTATTGCACTATTATGTTTTGGGCTTAGCATGCCTTGTACCCCTCCTCCCTTGAATTTACAAATTAATGTACCATCACTCTGATTTTTTGTTTATAGACTCTCAGACCTAGGAGTTTTTGATTCTGGTGTTGAGATTCCAGGCCTGAATTTCCCATCTCTATTTGATCCCTATCCAACCTCTTGCATTAGCTCTCCTTTATCCATCTTGTATTTGTGGCTATCCACCTCTATCCTGAGGGGTTGTTGGTGGATACTTGATCCCTCATATATTCCCTATTGGTGCATGTTTTTCTCAGCCCTTTCCTTAAATCGTTGGCTCCTGTTTTTTTTGGTGCCTACCCACGTCTTACTTCTGGGTCCTTATTATGGCTCTATTTTTATGCCAAGTGGTTTATGGAGATTTTTCTGATTCAATGGAGTCCAGGGTGAGGGCTGCTCATCAACATTTCTCCCCTTTTCTCCTTGTATTCCATGGCGTTCACCTGCTCCCATTCTTGTTTTCCCTCTCCACCCTTCTGTCCATTTTCCTGTCCCCTTCTTCCAGACCTCAGCCACTTATCAAATTACTCATCGCTAGGTGCCCTGATGCCAACAATACTGGTAACTGTACCATAGGTTCTGATGAGTTCGGAGCACATTTGTCTAGGTTTATGCACCTATGGTGTGATTTCACTTCAGCTGCTTGATATTTCAAGGGTTATCCAAAGGACTTTCCATTTGTTTTATCACGCCACCTTCCTGATCCTCATTTCTTATTCTTTTCCAAAACATACTTTTACCTTCTGCTGAAACTTTAGCTATTCCTTAATGTTGGCTTTGCCTATCTAAGCATTGGTTTCTCATGCACCAGTCTTTTATACCTCACTTGAATGCCCTTGACAATATCTAATTTGCAAATTCCTCCATCTGCGTCAATACGCCCTCTATCTTGACACTGTATATAAGCACCTCACTCAGATAATGTAATCACTTTTTCTCAACAAAGTGCTGGTCATGGTTTTGTCTGATGAAGTGCTGTGGTTTGTTCCGTTGTGGATTGCGATTTTTGTGTCGCCTTGTGGATTTCCATGTAATTATAATTTCCTTAAAAAGAATATTTGGAATGTGATGTTTGCATGTATGAATTCTCATATTACTGTTGTCAACACAACAGTTCATCTTTCTATTGTTGGGCGGGGGCACTCTCAATTGAGGCTGTCTGTGTTTTGATCTGTTGGGAGATGGAAACATATATTTGGCCTGGCAGTGTTTATCTCCTGGGGCCTCTGAAGTTGCCTTTTTTGTTGATCCTGGTTATTCTAGGGAAAATTTGGACTCTGTTTTTCTGATGCTTTTCTTTATCAAGTTGGATTTTCACAGGTCTAACTTGGATTAACCACCTCCTACTCCTTTTCTTCAATTAGTCATTTGGGTTATGAGCTTTTGGGACTTTTCTCTGACCTTTAAGTTTACTCCTCCCTTGATGGTAGAATGGTCAATGGGGGGGGGGACTATTTCATTTCTTCCTTCTTCACCTGATAATCCTGGTTCGTGCTAAGAGATTTACTTCCTTTTATGTGATGGGATAAATATACCTTGTACTCTCATTTGTCTGTTTGCATGCTTTGGCTTTCCACCTCCAGGGGCTGTATTTTTTCACTTCCACAGATTAAAATTATTTAATTTTGGATATATGTGGTTCCACATTTTTGTATTTGTTTACACCTCATTCTTGCTCTGTGATGTTTCTTCCCCTTCAAATTGTTGTCAGCCTATCAATGGTTTCCATATTAATTTGCAGACTATTGGGATCTCCTACTGACTTTTACCTTGGTCAGATTGCCTGCTTCTGTACCTTCTGTAGAGATATCTTGGTGAAGGGACTTCGTCTACCTGCTATAGCCTTTGGGTGTTACATGTGGCTTCATTTTATCCTTATCTCATGTTTGCGGGTGTCCCAGAGGCATCTGTTTTTTTGTTGTTGTTGACCTCTCGACCTTATTTGGCCCTAGCAGCTGAATAAACTCAAACCTTAGCTTCAGGTCCACTCTATCTGGACTGACCGATACCAATGGCATTGATATCAACCTGGGGGGTGGAGGTAAGTTAGAGGGAGGTTACCACTACTGATGGACGCATGGTATTCCTTCACCGCAGACCCATGGGCATTTTGGGTTCTGGTATCGAGGTTGGTCTTTCTATTCTATTATCCTCTCACCCTGAGGTATTTCCACCTCCTCTTGACTGTAGTGGATTTTCATTTCATGGCTAACAGCTACTGATCATTGGGGTGGTTGTGACAGTTGATCCCGTTCTTCCAGGATTTTATTCCTGTTTATCTATTGTGCCTGAGACAAGGGGAGATTCGTGGACAATTGTCATTCTTTCTCATCTCAACTCATTTTTTGTTTCTCCCCAGTCCACAATGGAGTCCTTTCTCACCCTACATTGGTACTCTTCACCAGGTCTATGGATCCCTAAATTTGTGGTTGCTGAGGCATTTCTCCACATTCTCATAGTGAATTCATCTTGCTTTTAACTATGTTTTGTATACAGAGATCAGGTTCTGCAGTTCAGAGATCTAGTCTTTCATCTAGCATCAGCATCATATGTGTTCTGCTGGGTTGTAGATGTTTTTACCATGTTTTACACACAGCTCAGCCTCCTCTCATCCAGCTCCAGACTATGGAATGGGGAGTCAGGCTCTTACTTACAGGGAAAATTCTATCTTTGCAGTTGTGGGTTTCCCTCAGATCTCTTGCATTTTTTGGGAGGAGGATACATACTGTCCCTTCAGTGCTCCCATTGCAACAAGTGGATCTGGAACTTCGACACACTGTATTTTCCAGTCTTTCTTCAGGAGCAACATCTTAGTTTTTGCGTGGTGGATGGTTTGAATCACCTCTGTCTTTAGAGTGTGTGTGTGTGTGTGTGTGTGTGTGTATATATATATATATATATAATATGTGGGTGTGGGGGTATAAATGTATACTGCTCCTCTGCTCATGGCTTCTCTTCACTTGGGGATGTGGTGTGTATCTTCAAGGTCGGGAATTCTATATGAATGGAGGACAAATCTTCATTCTACATCAATAATTTAGGATTTCTTGCTGTCCAGTGGGCAATATTGCAAGGTCTAGATCTTTTGCAGGGGAATATTGTCATGAGACGTTTCATCAATTCCAGAGGTCTCTTAAATTTGGTTCTTTCTCTGTGGAGGCCTATTCCAATCATGCCAGTCTCTTAGCTTGCCATTTTCTTGGGGTGATGGATTACATAGCAGATTATCAGTCTCAGTCCTCTCTTTCTTCTGGACGAATGGGTTCTCCATTGTGTGGTTCTATTTTGGGCCTCCTTTGTTAATTTTTGGCCACTTATTGCTACTCAACTACAAGCTTTGGAGCCTCCACTACCTCATCTTCAGGCTTGTGTGGTAGATGCAATTGGTCCTGCTTGGATGTAATTGCACATCTTTGACTTTCCCTCACTTCTTCTGTTACTCAGAGTTCTGTCTACATTTCGATCCTCTCCTTGCAAGATGTTGCTAGCCTAGACTTGCTGGCCTAGCTTTGATTTCCTCTTCTGCAGTTTATCCATGTGAATCCACCTCAACATCTTCCTTTTTGTTTATCTTTACTGAGGCATCCTCAACCCAACCTTCTACACCAA